CCCCAAAACCCCAAAACCCCAAAACCCCAAAACCCCAAAACCCCATAGGCTAAAAATAGTAACTATTCAAATCATTTAGATAAAGAATTAAGGATGAAATAAGATAGATAATGACCATCAAATATCCATTGCTCAAGGTTTAGCCTCAGGTTCGAATAAGATAATTTGGTACTTTGACAAGCAGATGGTAGTATCTTTAAGAGGTGTGAAAACGAGTCTATCAGTGGTGGCATCATACACTGCTTGTCCAAGAAGTGTCTTGATTTTATCACTCACGACTCCATTAACATCATAAGTGTCTGCAGTCTTGAAAGATGCCGCATTGTAGATAAATACTTGACCAAGATGGTCGTTTTTGTTAATCACATTGCATTGAGGATCATCCTTGTCAAAGAATTTGCTGGCAACTGGCATATTAATTTTCATTTGAATGACTTCAGTGTCAGAGTATAGACCGGTAAATGAAATGAAGTATCTGTTCCAAGCTAGATTTATATCAAGAGTAACACCATCATCATTCACGTAATCTCCCTAAGCATTCCAATTCTTCTTTCCTTGAGTTTGTAGAGATCCAAGAACGTGGAAATCAACTGGGTGCTGTTATAGATCAGCACTGTTTGAAATGGCAAGGGCCACTGCATCTTGCATTGGAACAACGTAACCTTCTCTTAGATGGACACTGAAATCATATAGCAATGAGGGTAGCTGTTTAGGTTCTCCCTTTGAAAGTATACACTTATCTGCTGGGTGGAAAATATCGCACCATGTTCCAGCTGGGAAGTAGTAGCTTGTAAGTTCAGTTGCCACTGAATCAGCATTAACACTCAATTTCAAAGCATCTCCAAGCATGACATTGTGGGTTAAGTCAGTATAAGTGTTCATGTCTTCTGGGAAGGCAAAGAATACAGGCTTGTAGAAAGCCTTTCTGAAGAATTGAGTTGAGCCTTATGAAGCAAGGAATAAGTTAGTATAGTAGTATCTAATCATTGAGTACTTGTTGAAGATTGATTGTCTCATGATTTGTAGATAGGTGACGCCGTTCTTGTAAACGTCTGGGAATTACCATGGCTCTTGTGGCTTTTTTCCAATTGAGTTGTGATTTCTTGAGAAGGGGTAGAAGGATCCAACAACGTGCCATCTTGCGCAGAGATCTGCTGTGGTGTCGTCGTTAAAACCGCAAATATCTGAACCTGCAAGTTGAATACCAAACATGTTCATTAGCATAATTCCTGTAACTGAATAGCCCATTTAGACTTCATTAGCAGCATTGTCTCCTAGCCATCTAGAACCGTATTTGCCCATACCAGCGAAAGAACTTCTCTCAATGATGAAAGTTCTTTGCTTTTGGACGTTTTAGAACCACTCGTGAGTGGCTTTGACTTCCTAGGTTCCCCAGTAAGAATGAGTATCAAGTTAGAAATAACCATTAGCGTGTTATGCGTCTAGTGCTGCAGTGTGATCCTCAAGATCACCACCTGCTGGGACATATGGTAGTTGGTATTTCAATTGATTGAATGGCTTTTGATTTTGCTTGCAAAGTCCAAGGCAGAAGTTTGATACTTCGTTCATGTCCTCCCAAAGTCCATCAAACTTAACCAAGCCATACATGGCAGTGAGTTGATCGTGCCACCATTAGACAGTGTTTGGAGCATAGAAATCTGGGAATAAGGCTTCATTAGGCCATACGCTTCCAATGAAGTTTTGAGTTCCATTAGCAGCAGTAACGATTTTAAGAAAAACATCTTTGTCTACTCCACTTTGATATGCTTCATAGTTTTGTTCTGGTCTCATAGCAACTCCAGCGTCAAGAATTGGAACAAATCTCATGTTTTTACTGTGAAGGTCATCAACGAACTTTGGTAGTCCAGCAAATCTGGTGGTATCATATGTGAAATCCTTGTAATCATCCATGTAGTCAATATCACTCCATTAGACATCGAGAGGGAGATTATTTGACTTATATTTATCAACTGAGTCTTAGAGGTCTTAGACACCAGTATATCCCCATTTGCATTGATTCCATCCAAGGGCCCATTGAGGAATGAGAACTGGATCACCAATCATTGAGTAATATCTATCAATGATATCTTCTGGTTTTTGTTGATCAGTCATTACTGAAATATCACCAAGACCACCAGTTGCAATGCTAAGGATTTCAATAAGACCAGCTGGCTTGTTGTTTGTAATGAACCAGTCTGATGCATGTGCTAGCTTGGTGAAGACTCCTGCAAAGCTTTACTTGTCGTGTCTCAACATATAGAAGGGATGAGTTCCGTACATAGACTTGGCAGGGGGCTTGCCATCTTCATCTGGAGTGCCTTGATCCTTGCCCCAAATGGTATAGACACCTGATTCGTAGAAGAAGTTCTTGTTGGCTCTCTCTCCAAGACCGAAGATGCCCATAAAGTCGTCTCCAGATGGCACCTTGACTTCTGTCTTAATCCAGTTTGTATAGGAATCCAAGTACATACCCTTGATGACGAAGTATGGATCATTGACTAGCTTGTTTCTAGACATGAACTTGATTTAGAATGGGTCTGGAATTATCTAGATGAAATCTTAGAGCTTTTATTCTGAGCCGCCTTTAGCAGTGGTGTTTACAAATTCATCTGGTACTTCAACTGGCAATCTCTTGCCTGCTGGAGGGTTTCCTTTAGCATCTAGAACATAGTTCCATTTAACATTAATGATGCTTGCATCTCTGAATTAGATTGTGGCCTAGAGGTCTGGTAGGAAACTTAGCTTGGATTAAAGAACAATTGTGGTTTTGTTTCCTGAGAGATCTGGTTGCTTGCCATCCTTGATGGAGTATGTCATAATATTGTCATCGCAGTAGTTGACTTCTTTGTTGTTAGAGTTGCCGAAGTAGACGTGAGAGATATCACTGAACTTGAATGGAGTCTAGGAGTCGAACTTGATTTCAAGAGACTGCTTGGAGTCATCGAAGTTGAACAGCAAGTTAGAGGTCTTTTGCATTTAGGAGTTGTACACGCAACCGAAATTGGTGCCCTTCAAATCCTAAGCGTTACCGATCAAGAATCTGTCTAAGATGTGTGGCTAGTTTCCAACAGCTCCTTTGGTCAATACTAGATGGAAGGATTTTTGTTAGAGTGTGATCTGATAGTTCTCAAATTGTTCCTTATCCATTTCAGTTCTGGAAATACCCTAATCAAGGAACACATTACCTTGGGCGAAACCATTGACATCTCTGTTAGCAATAATTGAAATTGGCCTCTTGAGGAGATCAGCAGTGGTCTAGAGCTTCAGGTCATCAGTTGGCTGGCGAGGAATAAGAGTACCTTCTTTGAGATGAGCATTTACTGTTGAGCCGACTTTTAAGTCAAACATATCTCCTTTGGCTGAGGCATCAATGACTGAGAAATCTGCAAGGTTAAGCCATTTTCCCATTGGGAAGTATGATTTAAAAGTATCTGTAACGCCTGCCTCAAGAATAGGGGAGACTTTAACTGCATTAGCAACTATGAATGTGCTCTCAATGTCTGTGTAAGTTTACTCATCTAATGGATAATGATAGAAGAGTGGGTCGAAGCAGCTGCCGCCATCATTATATACTTGGAAAAGACAAGTGTACATCATTCTTAGATAGGAGTATCTGTCGAATATTGACTTTCTAGCATCCTCAAGGAACTGGCCTTTAAGGTTGAATGGTTCAGAATCGTCACTATGTCCTCCAAGATATGATTAGTTTTGGTGAGATCTAGCATATGGGTAGAAAGTAGCGAGTTAGATCCATCTGAGACACAACTCTTGGTCTAGCTTTTCTCCATAAAATCCACAGACTTCTGCGCCAGTGTGGGGGATACCGAACATGTTATTGTTCATGATGCCTGGAATAGATGATTTCATTGAATCCCAGGTCTTGTAGTTATCTCCTAACCAACTAGAAACATATTGACCGCTTCCTGGGAAAGTTGCTCTGTGCATGATAAAGTGTCTATCATTAATTTTTGGGTAAGTTTTATCATTTATAAGGAATTCTCTTGTTCTATATCCCATCATGTGGCCGAAGAGATTGTGAACATTGTATTCAGTTTCTCCGTTTAATCCTGGGTGAGTAGCATTCAATGAAAGAGTTGAGTTGTCATAGTTTCCAATGTCTCCCTCTGAATTTCTTACAACGAATGGTAGGTGATAAGTGTCATCAGCAACCTTGATATCTCCATTGAGAATGTCGTACCACTTTACGTCATTCGAATCCTTGTATTCTGCCTCAAGGACTCTAATCTTTGTTACTTCCTTTACTGTTTTAGTGGCAATCTAAGCTCTTTCTGTTTTGCTTAGTTCTCCAGTAGAAAAAGTGTTTGGCTCAGCCATGTCAAGCCATAGACCATCGAATTGAGTTTTATCCCAAAGGTCATATAGACCCCTGTTCCAAGTGTATTTGGCGTCATCATGGAACCAGTCGATGAAGACGGCATGGTTTGGCCAAACTTTAGCTACCAAATTCTTTCCATATGTGTCATCATCATTAATTGTTGACTGAATGAAGACACCATCTTTGTTGCCCTATTTATAGTATTAATTAGTTGGATCATCAGCTGAAATTCCAGCATCTAGAATAAGGACTAGTTTTTGGTTATTGTTGTGAAGATTTAAAGCCAAGTCGAGTATCTTTGGGAATGCTACAGTGTCAACAGAAAAGTCTTTGTAGCTATCCATGTAAGGGATATCAAGGTAGAGAGTATCGAGAGGCAAGTTGTTGTCCGTGTATTTCTGTACTGCAGCAGCTGCATTATCTTGTGTCAGATATTTCCATGAAGCTTATTACCAACCCATAGCCCAGAATGGTGGGAGATAGGGTTTACCAATAATACTGTGATACTGCTGAATGATCTCCTTGGGAGTTCCTTGCATCATGAAGTACGCTTCAATCTAGCCTCCAATAGTGATATAACTGAGAGTGGATGTTCCATTTGCGTTGAATTTAAGGACTGGAGATTGCATGTTAGAATTTCTAAAGTAAATACCAAAGTAGTCATCCTTTCTCTTCCCGCTCTAAACCAATATAAATGGATGAACACCATAGAGTCCCTTTCTTCCCTAACGGTCGTCAGGCATGGCAGCTTAAGCTGAAGCCCACATTGTGTAAGTGCCCTCTTTGAGAAGAAATTGATGTACTCTTTCACCGAAACCGAAAATTCTTTATGAAGGAAGAGTGAAATCCATTTGGATATACTTATCCATGAAAGTCAAAGTGTTTCCCTTGGTATCAACATAGACATTAGTAGGATCCTAGTAGTCACTCAAGCTGAAGCTGAATGGATTTAGATTGTAGTTCAAGCCTACTCTGCTTAGTCTCTTTGGCTGAACAGAGGGTTTGTTGAAGAATTTTGATGGGACATCATATCTCTTATTGTCAGCATCAGTTAAACTAAATCTCATGATGTAATCGGAGACCATTTCGAAGGCAAAGTCTAAATTGAACATGAACTGGTTGTTTTTGTCAACCTTCAAGTCTTCCCAGTTGACATTCAAACCTTCTCCGTTTCCGCCACTGGGAGATGTTAAACGAGGTCTAGCTTGTTCAGGGGCTTCAGAGCTATATCCTCCCATTTTCCGAGCATGATCCTCATTCAGGAATTAATCAAAAAGTGATTTTTCTTTCTTCTCGGTCTTTGATCTGACCTCAAGCTTTCCGCTAACTGAGTTAGTTGAAGGAGTTCCAACAATCTCAGCCTTGTATGGATTTCCCATTCCATGTGGTGGTTAAGGGATACCTGGGTCATCAGGATCTTTATGACTGTCACCACTTTTTCTTGTTAAAACAATAGGTAGAACGATAGCTAGAATCACTATTATTAGGATTATTCCACCAATTATTCCTCTTTTTATGTACTTCTTTCTTTTGATTGCCTGGTGATCCACAATACTCAAAGAATTGTCGTTGACGGTTTAGATCTGATGATTATTGTGATCGTTTAACGTTAGCGGATTACGCTCCGTATCGTCTCCTTTATTCATTGAATGAATATGATATATTTATTATATTAACTAAAGAAAATACGAAAATATCCTTTTTTCTCTAATTTATAATATTTTATATATAGGGGTTTTGGGGTTTTGGGGAGATCGGAAGAG